AGTTTTTAGAGTAGGAGCAGCCTTTTAAACAGAAAGCTGAGCACCACATAACAACAATATCAATTCTTTCATAATCTCCCACAAGCAATCAGTTACTGTTAAATCAACAAAAGCAGCATAAAGGACACTTTTAATAAAACTATAATATTTTTCCACTAGGATTGCACATTGATTCATAGTGGAATATCTTCCCTTAAAACCTGCTTGTTTGTGGTTAAAATGTCTTCTGAATAGAACAAATCTGAAAGCTTTTAGTACAAAAATTGAGTACAGAATAATAAGCTAATTGGGTGAGAAATAACTGGGTCTTGCACATTGCCTTTCTTATAAAATAAGAGAGTGATAGAATTAAGCACTCTTTGGGAGCAACAGTTATTAATAGTGATAAATAGGAATAGCTAATAGCAAGTATGTATAATCAGCATGTACTTTCAGCAATTTTGGTAACTTTATACGCTTGCCTGCTGCCTGCTGCTTTTCAACTGAGACCTTGATTTCTAATTTTGAGACAGGGAGCCAATTAGGGTAGGAATTAAATAAAGATGGAGGGGAAGGAGAATCACTACCAGAAGAAACACTGAGTAAGTTGCCAAAATATTTTTTCTAGACGTTCATGCTGCTAGGTGTTTTTTCAGTCCTAAGGAAGGTTCAGCTCGGCTTTTAGATTAGCTAGAAAGCAAGAAATCCAAAGATTTCCTGCTTTTGAGCTAATCTAAATCTCCCAGCACAGCAGAACAGCTAATGGTTGGGGATGGGGTGGGGGTGGAATAGCAACTTAGCAGGCAAGTTTGATGGTGCGCCTGCCAGATAAGGAGTGAGTGGATGGGGCAGGGCTAGACAGTGGCGCAATTTACTGGTTCTCCAGATAGAATCCCACCCCTGATGAGAGCGCGTTTTTGTGCGTGTGTGTGTAGACCATTTCCCAAAAACTTCAGCTGTGCCACCTGGACAGCTGACAAGCGCTGAGTGCCGGTGCACAGAGTTTCAAACTCTTCTTCTTTCCTGCTTTTTCAACCTCAGCTATGCCATGCAAAGTAGCTGAGGTTGAAAAAGTAGGAAATAAAGGACAGCCAAGAGCCTGGGTGGGGTGGCTGGGCCAAGCAGAACAGCAGACACCAAACTGGTTCAGTGTCTACTGCTCTCTAGAGCTACAGGTTCTATAAAACTGGGCCAAACTGGTAGCATCCCATCCCTGCAGAAGAGATTATCATACTTTTTTGCTACTACTTGTTGGAGCACTGTCGATTTCACTGATGAGTCATTTTACTTTTCATAGTAAAGCTATGGAAGCTTTTCATATTCCTTCTTCAATAAAAGAAAAAATCATGAAAAAGAAAATCATTATAAAACTGGCTTTTCTATAAAGTCAAATTATCATAGTCTGAACACAGTCCTTATTAAACTAAATCTGGAATGAGGGATAAGAGCCTGAATTACATTATAAACAGCCCTGAATTTTTTGACCAATTTTTCATGAATTAAACTGGTTGTTCCAATAATTTGTTTGAAATAGTTATCCAGAGATGATTCAAATAATTGAGCCATTTCTGCAGCTCACAGTTTACTAGGTTATTTAAACTATTAATGCTGCAATCCTAATATGTGCTTACCAAGGAGGAAGCCTCACTGACTATAGTTGGGTTTACTTCCAAATAAATCTTCACTGAATTATGTTGTTGACATTTATGAACTTTTATATGAACTGATCTTCCAGTAAAAGATAAATCTATATTTCCTAAAATATGCTTTAGAAGTTTCAGCCTCATCTTGAGGAATTGTACATATTACTCAACAAAATCTACAGTTAGAAGCTGAACTAGCTCAAAAATTTCTTTGTTTTATCATATGTCCACATGAATTATCAAAAGCTCCTTCTTTAATTTTACACTTGCAACATTCATTTAAAATACCTTTAAACATCCTAGATAACTTATCCAGTGTTAAATACCAGCAATATATCATCTTATAAAAGTTTTCTTTTAAATTATAGTTTAGTGTACATTTTAAACCTTTTGTTCATTTCCCATTATTTAAACTTCACATTATATGCAAAATACCTTGCCCACAGAATCATATAAAGTTTTACATGTTCACTTTCCACATTTAATTTCAGTAACATTTTATGAATCTTAGCAATAATATATCCATTACTACCACACAGTAAGATTTCCAATTCATTTTTAACTTAATCAAACCCATAACTCTTTTTATTTAATTTAAATCTTTCTTTCAGTTGTTAATATGCAAACCAATGGCAAACATAACCTCTAATTCGAGTTCTTCCCTCGACTTTAGTGTAGAGTTGAAGATAAGATTTTACCATACATCCACCAGTCTGGCTTCACACCACTTATTTTTTAAAAAAAAGCTTCCCCCCAAAAAAACCCCAAAGTCAACTTCATAGAGAATCTTGTTTTATGGTTATTCCAAACTCTTAGTATGACACATCTATTTTTTTTATTTTTTATTTTCTTATTTGTCAATTGCTTACAAGATAATAAGTATAAATAAAAACATAGTTATGAATATATGGATACATATAAGAAAAATAAAAAAAAATATAAAAGAAACAATAGGACAGGGACGGTAGGCACGTTGGTGCACTTATGCACACCCCCTATAATCTAGCAAAGTGATTATTAAAATCAACATTAACTTTAACTTTATCATATCATAGATAACCATGCCCTCCAAATCTATGGCCCTCTAATTCAAGCAACCTCTTATTCTGGAGGTTCACCCACTCTTTTAACCAGGTCAAACAGCATGAATCAAAATACAATTTTAAATCTGATAAACCCAACCTTTCTTTCCTTGTATCTTGCAATAGCTTGTATCTAATTCTTAGTTTTTTCCCTTGCCATATTAACTTAGAAATATCCCTCTGCCATTGTTTAAATGGATTATCAGTTGCGAGTATTGGTAATGTGTGGAATAAAAAAAGCATCTTTGGTTAGATGTCCATCTTAATTTTAGAAATTCTACCCAATAGTAATAAATGCAGTTTGTCCCATCTTTGTAAGACCTTTTTAATATTCCTCTAGAGAGGGACATAGTTAGTTTGAAGCAATTTTATATTTACATTTATCAATAAAACCCCTAAGTATTTCACCTTTTTCTCAACCCTAAAACCCAACTTTTTAGTCAATATATCACTGTCCTGAGATAGCATTGTTGTTTTCTCTTTATTTTAAAACCTGCTGTAGCCCCAATCTCATTTAATTTCCTCATCAAATATTCTATATTATCTTTTGGGTCTTGCAAGAATATAACCAGATTATCAGGAAATGCCCTCAATTTATAAACTTCTTTCTTGATACTTATACTCCTTATATTTTCATCTTGCCTAATATCTCCATTCAAAACTTCCAATATCAAGATGAACAGCAGAGGGGACAAGGGGAATCCTTGTCTTGTACCCTTTTGAATTTCACACAAATTAGTTAAATCACCATTAATGATAATTTTGGCTTTCTGTGATATATAAACTGCTTTGATCCCTTGAATAAAGTTCTTTCCAAAGTCCATTTCTTCTAGCACTTAAAACATAAAAGCCCAATTTAAAATTTTAAAGGCTTTCTCCGTATCTAGAAATAGTAAGGCTGCCTATTTCTCATTATGATACTGTAAATATTCAATAATATTCAAAACAGTCCTCACATTGTCTCAGTCGTCTTTTTGGCAGAAAGCCCAAGGTTCATATTTTAATACAGAAAATTCTTAAATCAAAGATAAAAATGAAACCAGAAGCTTTTATTTTGGGCTTAATGGAAAAAGACTTGGAGAAAAAAAAATGGAACTTTGATCTTATATATGTTGACAGCAGCAAAACAGCAGCATTTTTGTATGCACAAAAATGGAAGGACATTTCAATTCCCACCATGGACGAAAGAGTACAAAAACTGATGGAGTTGGCAGAAATGGCTAAATTGACTGTTTTGATTAAAGAAAAGAATATACAGATACAGATAACCAGAGTTGGAAGGGACCTTGTAGGTCATCTAGTCCAACCCCCCATCCAAGTGGAAGACCCTACACCATTTCTGAGTACTTTTGTTGCCATGTAAGTACTTTTGTTGCCATGTGGAGACTGCTTCTGGACTTTGTGCTTCAGGTGGGGGGAAAATGAAACTTTGATTTTGTGTTTTACCAATTAGATTGATTTGTTTTTATAGAAGTAGCTAGTTTATATTATTATGGAAAAAATAAAAAGCTGTGGTTTGATGTTAATGTTTTACTTTAGTGCAACAGAGAGAGTTGGAAGTCAACACTTTTCTGTTTTTCCCCCATTCTCTCTCACTTATCTTTCCCTTCTCCCTCCCACTGTGTCTTCTTATTTGCTTTTGTATTTTAGTCTATAATTTAATAAAATGTTTAAACAGAAAAAAATGATGTTGGGTCTTTCCACATCAGAGGGACACCTTCTCATACTAAGGTGCTTCTCATAACCTGCAAGGACAACATTTTGGACGGGGCTAAGTGGGTTCAAGTGATCCACATGGAATATGCAACCTCTGAGTTCTCCTCCTTATCTCAGGATTGTCCTCATGGGTGGCTTCTCTTCCAACATAGCAAAAGCCTTGTCCAAACTCATGAATACATAGCTTATGTATTTCACACTATCATCTCTGCTATCTGGATGCAAAGTAGATTTTCTAAAGACCTAATGAATAAACAAGCCCAGAGTGAGTGGTGTAATTTACCTTGTTAATGCACATATGAGCATAATAAATATGCATTGTTCTGTCTTAAAAAAAACTGATCTAGTGCGCAAACATCCCAATGACAATCATTCGCTTCTAGACTTATCACAGCAAGAAAAAACACAAGAGGATTTTGTGGCAGCAATATTAATGCTAATACATTTAATGAAAGGCATGCTCCTTCTATTTCTTTGGCCTGATCACAAATTCCTTGCTAAATGCTGGATCATTTAATACATTTCATTAATGCATTAAATTAAAACGAACGATTCTTCTTCTTTAGATTCTTCCACTTACTGTTGCATGTTCAGAATTCGCATTAGGTACTTCAATTGCCCGGTTGCTTGGGTCCACTCTCACTTTTGCTCGTGTTACAAACTGAATCACTGATGAGGTATCCTACAGATTGAAAAATAAGGAGAATTAAGGAACATTTTCAAACACACAGTTCTCAAAGGCTCTTAATCATGGGCATTTTAAAATACATCAGTTAGATGTGAAAGTTGCAAAGCACTATTCTCACATTAAACAAAAGTAAGATGCTGCCAAATATCACCAGCAAAGAACATCTTCAGCTGAATTATTGCTGCATCATAATTAGAAGCAGATATTTATATATAATTACTAAAATGTGCTTATATATTACATTAAATATTTTATGATTAAAATAAATCCTAACATTGTATAGAATAACAAATCTAGATATTTTTCCACTGTAATCATTTTTGAAAAGAGCTTTAACACAAATGGCCCAGCAATTACCTTTTAAAGTAATTCTTACTGTACTTTAAAATTACACATCTTCTGGTGGAATGATGTTAGAGTCATACATCATTTTTAAGGGGAAAAATGACAATTTAGAAATGGAAATATAGTTTCCTCCTCTTACGTATATCAGGGCAACAAAGTTCAAGAGAATTATTTTACTCTGTGACTTCAAACTAAACATTGGCACAGCTCATATAATTAAGCAGCTCAACTAATTTAATGAAAATAGCTGGTGTTAGGCAACAATACATTCCTAACACTTTTATTAATTACATCATATCATTCCAGTGCAACACACACTGAGCATTCAGCAAGGCAAATCATGCTTAGCATAGTAGGCTAAAACCTTATTTTACCCAGTGTTGACAGTAGTAAAATATCAGAAAAATCTATACTCAATTCTATCAGCATTTAAAAGTGTATGAATCAGTTTTGAGCTAATCATTTACATTTTATATATTATATATTACTTACATTTCAGTCTATCATTTATATTGATGGGGTTATACTGAAATCCAAAATCTAACTTTGGGGATTATTTGATTTGCTCTTTTGTAGCATCTTGAAAGATGGAAAACATAATAGCTTGCATAATTTTTTACCCTTTCTTTTCCTCCCTCTGAGATTGCTCAAACAACAACAATTCCTTCTGATAGGATAAAGCAGTAATCCAAGTTTAAATCCAACTCCAAGGTGAATTATGTACAGAAAATTCAACATTATAGTGTAAGAAATGATGCTCACCTTCTTTAATATCTCTGTATTCAAAAGCATTTGCACATCTATGCTACGTGATTCAGCTTTTGCTAGCGAACTTAAATTACACCTTATAATTAAGCAGCCTGGTCTTTCACAATCCTAAAGGATAACAAGTAAATAAAAGCAAATGAACAAAGGGGGGGGGGGGGAGAATGGATAGATAATCAATAAACCTTGTTCAGCTATCTGTCTTCAGCAAATCTTTCAAGATTGATTACATTCTCATTTTTCCTACTTTTGGTTTATTCTATCATGTTTCACCATCATTTCTAACTTTGTTTATAAACTGATTACAAATTTGCATTGTTTTGTGCGCTTTTCTCCTAATGCACACTGTATTTCGTAGAGAATGTCACTGAATGAATTGTCATACTACATGTTCCTTCTCATTATTCCTTGATATAATGCAGATTTTCCTGCATATCCTGAATTCAAATATTGTTACTGCATTCTACGACCAGCCGTTACAGTAGGAAAAGAGAAATAGTTTGGCACTATAATTCATTAACAGAAAAAAAATAAAAATAAATGATGTATCTAATTAAAAAAGCTTTGGGATCGAGGACTGCCCCAGACAGACTCTACGTGCAACTTGCGGATTCTTCTAGACTCAAGACTCCTTCTCAAAAAAGCAAGCAGCAGTCATGGCTAGGAGAGCCTTTGCATAAGTTTGCATAAGACATGTGCAACAGTTTTTCCACGGATAACCTTTTGGGGGGAAACAAAAGACTGGGCCTGGAATCAATCCCTTCTACATCCTACTCCCAATCAATAACTCTTTTTTTCTTTCTCCAATAAGTTCAGAAAAGTAGTAATGCCCAGATCTAAACTGCAGAACTTCAATTTTAATTGGGAACCATTTTTTTGATTCTTACCCACTCTGTCATCCCAGACAAATTTTCCCATCATGTTAACTTGATTCATTATTGGGTGTTTCAACATTCATCATGTAATTTGACATCCACCAAAAAAATTTCTCATATTTTAAGCAAGTGTCAATACTATTCTCACCTAATAGGTATACTTTTCTAATTAATGATTGCAGAGAGCTAGGAAGGTGGCCTTGAAGCAAATATACAGGAACTGTTACCTAAATAAAAATGACAGAAGCATTCCTTAAAAGCCTTGGGAACAGAGATAATAACTGTTTTTTTCAGGCTGACTCCTCCTTGATTCAATTGGTATAAGAGGGAGGGTCCCAAAAGCACAATCAATTTGCAGGATTCTCTTACTTTATAATAAATTAGCTGATAACCTGACATTGCCTGGGTATTTATTTATCCCAATCCTGTATTAGACAGGAAAAGGAATGAATTATATCTATAGTGTCAAATCAAAGTAACTTTATTTGCAGGGTTTTAAAAGTATAAGTAGAATATACAAATTATAAAGAAAACTCTAGATGTAACAGCTCTATCTCTCCTATAGTGTAGTCATAAGCCATGGTGTTGTACTGTTTCTGAATGTCTAGTTGTAGCAGCTCTATTTCTCTTATCCTGTAGTAGGGACTCACGTTGTTGTACTGTCTCTGAAGCTCTAGATATAGTAGCTCTATCTCTCTTATCCTTTAGTCAGGCCTCATGCTGTTGTACTGTCTCTGAAGTTCTAGCTCTCTCAAGCAGCATCGCAAGTCTTCAATTCCCTTCCTCAGGAGTTTCTTGTCTACGCTGGTGTTTCATTTTTGTAGCCATTGATTGCACTTGGCCTGTCGCCTGACATTTCCTTGGAGGCATCTTGGCCCTGGCCCTGTTACCTCAACCACTGTGGTGAGAATTAGTGACCTAATTGTTCTGGCCTTGAAAAAATTCTACAGGGAACAGCCTTTGAGGTGATTATCTGCATTACCAGGCACCTCCCCTGACAACTTGCCCTCTTTGCTTGAAGCTGAGGGCCCCTTACCAGAGGGATCCCCCTTGTTTTTGTAAGAACAAATCCCCCTTATCAGAGGGAGCCCCCCCTGTGGAGTATTGTGAAGCCATTACCATGGCAACACCACTGTGCTGTACAGCCATTTTAATGTGCACCTTCCCCTGGAGAGGTGTTAGGGATGTCTTACCCCCAGAGTATTTTTTTTCCAGAGGTTAAGTCATCTGTCTACCATGTTTAGTTGAAATTGCTTGAGGCATTCCAGAGTTATGCTGGAACATAGACACACATAGCCATTTTTTTATATATAGAAGAAGATTATAGTTCTAGTCTTGTTATAGAATTAGTTTCCTGATTTGGTCTACCTTAGAGGGCTGAAATTGCTTCCTACAATTTAAAATTAAGACTTCAACTGAAAAAGTATGAAAGCATTATTGCTTAAATTTTTGTTCAGTCACTAAATCACGTCTTCGCAACCTCATGGACAATAGCACATTAGGCCCTTCTATCCCCTGGAATTTGCCAAAATTCATGTTCATTGTGTCAATGATACTATCTAACCATCTCATCCTCTGCTGTACTTTTCTCCTTATTACTTATATATTCATACATTTTAAGTTTTTTTATATAACTGATTATTATCTTGATAGATATGTGGCTGGTGTTTTTCCATTTTTAATAAATGGAATATTTGGAATATTTCCCCCACACAACTGGGGTGGAAAAGATACTAATCTAAATTATCATTTGCTAGTTTAAAATTGTTCCATGTACTCAAGGAGCACAGCTTATTTAGAAGCAGTAGAAAATATATACATATATTGTGTTTTAGAAAGAAGCTGTCGGCTTTCAAACTGTTCAAAGTGATAATAATTTCTTACCAGCACTTTCCTCCCAGACTTGGTAAAAAAGGCAAATATTGTGTGAAAAATGTTCTCCTTTTCCTGAGGAATGACACATGGTGTTGAGTTATTCTGAAAAGAGCAGTTCCCTTTGTCCTGAGCAACCTAAAGACAGATCACAAAGCACACCCTGTAACTTTGTACACCATTTTTTGGACATCTTGATATTTAACTTATTATTCATCTGCTGTAGTTCCTGTTAAAACTCATACTTTTTCATGACCTATAAGAAAATATAACGAAACAAAAACTATTTTTGCCGCCAATTTCTACTGCCAGAAAGATACTCCTTGTTTAAATACATGAATTGATTGCAGTAAAAGCAAAGTGAAAATTGTACCTATAAAAATGCTAGGGAAGGGGGATCAATTTTTATTTGATGATTATAGCCAGTCCTAAAACAATTTTATTTGGAAGTGTGAAACATCTACTTGCATGAAATGGAGTGATGATTCTATCTCCATAATATGATTGCTGTTCACTATGGCTACAGAGATGGTATTCAGCAGGTTCTGACCAGTTCTGGAGAACCGGTAGCGGAAATTTTGAGTAGTTTGGAGAACCAGCAAATACCACTTCTGCCTGGAGATTTTACAGTAACCTTCCCCTGCCATGCCCACCAAGCTACACCCACAGAACTGGTAGTAAAAAAAATTGAATCCCACCACTGTGTGACTCCACCCAACATCACTGTGGAAATCTCAAACAGTAAGATTGCAGGGAAGGAACTCTCAAAGCAAGAGCTACCATGGGAAGGACCACCCCCACCCCCCCATTCACATGCTTGTGAATTTTGGAGTTGTGATCCTTATCTATGTAGAAGGAATCTGGATAGGATGGTTTGCTATAAATAATGCTATGTCTGCAATTATTCTAACTGCAACTAGAACTCAAAAACTCTGTTCAGTTTTCAAACTGTAATTCAATGTTTCATCAATCACTAATACCATCAATCACACCTATAACACATAAAACCAAGAAAGAGATGAATCATCCTACACAGGTTTTAATATTCCTTTAAAACCCACTTTGATGAATAAGCTGTATTTTGCATGGCAACAAATCTATTTGGACTGTTTCACCAACCAAGAATGGACATTATTAGCTTTATTAGGCAAAAAAAGGCTTTCAAATTTGGGAAAGAGGAAGTCCAGATGCCATCTAGTATATGAATAGCAAGAAGAAATATGTGCTTTATTTTATTTTAGAACAAGCCTAGAGTTGAACACAATCTTACAAGGAATCCAGAGAGTTTATATGTAACATTTCCATGCTCAAGTGCTTAACAGCTGAAATTCAAGGCAGTGCTTACATTTGGCCTTTCCTGGATGGCAATGGAGGCTAATTTATGCATTGTAAAGATCCCAGATGATATTAATATGGAGCTTCTCAAAAGATTCCTCCAAACAGCTGTTATAAGATGCAAGTTGATTAGGTTGACACAAAGCTGAATGCAATCCACAATGCATGAATTATGTCCAGAACAAGATGAATCTCATTGTTTTACTGACTGAACAGAATTATCAAAATTGTCTGAGTCAAACTGAAAGTTCCTAAAATAATTTTGTAAACAATGCTGCACTACATGTTGTTTCTTCTCCCAATATAACATGGACCTTGCACTATATGTCACAATATCCAGAATCCCTTGATCATAAGTGCCAAAATCCCCCATTTTCAGACAAGGAACATGAAAATTAAGTTTCTCAAATCCTACTATAAACTTGATGTATATTTTTATAAAACAAAAACATTTCACAAATAAAACTATGTGTTGTTTGTTAATCACTTTTACTATTCATATATTATTTTTATTGACTTGTTTTGACTTTGTTATACCCCATCCAGGACTATAATATGCTGAAATATTGTGAATTAGTCAATAAAATAAAACTTAAGAGAAACGTGTTCTAATTAGTGCAAGTTACAATTAAGCTAACTTTGCCTATTATGGTCCATGAACCCTCAAGGAAAAAATTATAGCTCCTGGTTACCAAAAGATTGCCCTCCTTGTCTTAGAACTGACACCAAAGTTACTGTCAGGTTCCCATAGATCCCTATTAGGACTCTGCCATTCTGGCAGAAGGAGGAAGCCTTTGGTATTTTTATAACCTGTCACCTGCTTTGTTCTTTCTTTACTTTGATGTATCTTCCTAGGCTAGGGAGGAGGGCTTGGGCCATTTGTTTTGTCTCAGCTCCAAAGAAGATGAGAGAATGGTGCTTGAGAACACCTTCTTATCACCTTCCCAGCCTAAAGTTGTCACAGCAACTCAACACCTGGTGATTGGCTTGCGCTGGACTGAGCAGTAGGGAGAAGTTTGAATGAGTAACTTTTAACCTAATGTTTTAGTGCAGGAACTTCCATTTCTACCTACTCTCTTTGCTATCACTGTCTCCCAATAAAAGTTCCTTTTGAAATGCTACTTGTTTCAAGAATTTTCCTTTCTTGAGGGACTGCTGAGGTAAGACTTTACATGAGGCAAGATCTGAAAAGTGGTCAACCCAGAGGGGCACTGGCCCTACAGTGGGGACATTCACAAGATGTCCCATCAGGGCAGTGAGCACAAAGAAGCTGAATGCTGGGGAGAGACCTCCACCAAGGCTCAATCTGATGCAGCTTCCAGCGAATGGACGGAGGAAGTAGCTACCTTGGAAGAACCTGTGAAACCAAGATGGTCCATTGGCATGGGAAAGAAGGAGGACTGGGGAGGAAGGGCCAAAGGGGGTCACCCTCACCCAAGGTAGCCGGTAGCATGGTTGGAGACTGGAGATGGAAGCCCTGTATGATGATGATAACCTGAAAGAAAAACCAGACCATTCTGACCAGCTCATGAATCAAGTGAAAACTTCATGATGAAAACTTTCCAGAATCTGAAAACCGGAGAGGCCATGGCCTGCATGGACAGAGGTGAGGAAGAGCAAGGAGAAACCGCAGACACGTGGGGGGAGTCCCCTGAGGCTGGGACCTCCACTGGAGCTGCTGGAACCACAGACAGGGCAGCCACCACACCTAATCTCCCTCAGAGAGATCTTGGTGGAGCAATTGTCCAGAGAACCAGGGGGAGAAGAGCCCCACAACCAGAGTGAAAAGCACCCCCTAGGCATTAACGGAGATCCAAGTAACTAGGATTGTTCCTCACTTACATCCTTATTTACATGCAGGAATACAGACGAGGCTTTCCACTGAAGAAGCCAGAGTCTCTCCCTAGCTCTGGAAGAATCTGCCACTGGTGGATGGTAACACTCCATACTGGTAATGCCCTGGAGTTCTGCAAACCTGTCCATTTCATGACGGTGCTGAGATGGACATTCAAGGACCCCCTGGCTGATCACAAGGCCAGGATCAAAACCATAAGGCAGGGCTGCTGTCCAGTAGCCAAGCACACTGAAGAATTCTGCCACTTAGACTGACCAGAAGACATCCTAGTAAGATGCTTTAAGGATAGACTGAACAATGACTTGTATCATTCCTGCATTGCCAGATGTGCCCTAAATTGCCTCCACAACTGGCTCATCCTTTCAGAAGATGAAATTGATCAAGCAAGAAACCAATACCATTCCAGCAAAATCTAGAAATGTTCCACGCCCGAGAAAAAGAGGAATCTTGCCAAGCCCCAAGAAGCATTGCCATGTTTGATGATCTGCTTCAAATGCAGAAGGAGGATCATTGAGCTGCTGAGTGCTGCACAAAGTTCCCAGCCAAGAAAGGGATTACTTACCTGGAGGGAAGCCGACCAAAATCCCACAACATTTAAAAGACACGGCTTTGAAGTGCGCAAAGCTTGTGGAGTTCTATCCCTTCCCAAAACCTGTCCAGGTTCCCGTCAAAGGATGCCTGTAAAGGGCAAGGGCCAACACCATTTTCTATGGCCAATAAACCACCAGTAACCTTGGTGGTTGATCCATCCAGTAGGAGTACTGCATCCTATGTCCTGGGGATAACTCCCCCTATTCCCTCTGGTCCCTTCAGACCTGGAATCCTGAGGTCCTTGAGCCCTAGAACCCGACAGCCCAAACACATGAGTTAAAGAGGAGTCGAGAGTCCCAGGTCCCCATTGCACTTCCCCTAGAGCATGCCTAACGGTGGGATGCTCCCAACCCTCCTGCTGGCCTGGACTAAAAATGGGAGTCCCATCATGTCACAGTATATTCATGAACTGGAATAAAGCTTAGTAACAAGGTTAGCCATTGAGAGCTGAGTTGAGGGCTGAAACTTAAAGAGAGCATCTGGGCATGGTTTATCTCTGTTCTGTGCTCAGCTCTAAAGTGAAAGAGAAACTAGCTTGCTTGCTTGCTTATTTATTTATTTATTTTTATTTATTTTTGTCAATTGCTTACAAAATAATAGGTATAAGTAAAAACATAGTTATGAATACATGGATACATATAAGAAAAATTAAAAAAATTAAAAGAAACAATAGGACAGGGTTAGTAGTGTATTTAGCTTGTTTGCATGTTCGATGTCATAATCAGGGGCTCTTTTTTATTTTATTTATTTATTTTGATTTGTCAATCACTTACAAGATAAAGGTATAAGTATATACATAGTTATGAATACATGAAATGGGTACATATAAGAAAAATAAAAGAAACAATAGGACAGGGATGGTAGGCACATTGGTGCGCTTATGCACGCCCCCTACAGACCTCTTAGGAAAGGGGTGAGGTCAATAGTAGACAGTCTAAGGTTAAAGTTTTTGGGGTTTGGGGAAGAAACCACAGAGTCAGGTAGAGTATTCCAGACATTGACCACTCTGTTGCTGAAGTTGTATTTCCTGCAATCAAGTTTGGTGCAATTAACCTTGAGTTTGTATCTATTGTTTGCTCTAGTGTTGTTATGGTTGAAGCTGAAGTATTCATTGACATATAGGACATTGCAATATATGATTTTATATACTATACTTAGATCAGACCGAAGGTGGTATAGTTCTAGGTTTTCTAGGTCTAGAATTTCAAGTCTGGTGGCATAAGGTATTTTGCAATGAGTAGAGGAGTGGAGAACTCTTCTTGTGAAATATTTCTGGATTTTCTCAACTGTGTTAATATCAGATACGTAATGTGGGTTCCAGACTGATGGGCTGTATTCGAGTATTGGTCTAGCAAAT